TCAATTTGTAAAAGAAAATATAAAAGACGAAGAGAAAAAAAACTTGGTAAGATATACTAAGCAGAATTACAACATATTACCTCCACTTGCCGGGTACGTGCGGGTCAATTTGTACAGGATGTTTACATATACATTAGGCATGACTCTACCTAGCTATGCAATAATTTTAGATTTTGCTTAAATTAATTTTTACTTTTTCTTTTTCACAAAGTTCAAGGGGAACGCATCTTGACCTTTTTTAATCTTATGCACCTAATATTTCCATAATAGATAAAATCGGCATGAATATTCACAATCAACATAATTCTAACTTATTTAATTACGTTTCATGCAAGTATCTATGAAAAAAGGGTCGTGCTATGGATTGTCGGCTCATAAGCACTTTAGAAACTATGCCAAAGGTGCCATTGTAATTGGATTAACTAAAAACTTCTTATGCTGATTTTTCAGTATATATTATATTATGAATCGGTATGGATTAAATTATGGTAATAATAGTTTATTTGATTATCCATCAAATGTAAAAGGAGATGGCATTCATGGAATTAATCGATCGTTTCTATGTGTTCATGTAGCTAGCTCTTTAGTTAGGTTATCATGTTTGGCATTTTCTTCTTTTTTATTTTTTTAAAATTCAAATCAATTAATTAAGTTAAATTTGTCTATTTAAATTTATTGGGATTCGTTCCCTAATCTATCGGTTCTCTTGCAGTATTAGTTTCTTTTGAAGACATCCGAATAACAATAATTTTGCTGCATGTTTAACAAATCAGTCATCAGAAGAGAGTAGCTCAAACAGAAAATATCTTAATCTCATCCAAAATTTAACAGCTAAATTTTGCCGGCATCCCGCTCTAAATCTAAAGCCGAAACTGCAGCTAAATTCTATATTGAGCCTCGTTCATGTTTCTACCAGATTTCAATGTTATTGTGCACTATGTTTGTTATTAATCAAAATTTGACCGTTGATAACTTTTTCTTCCATTATCCTATTGACTCGATTATTTTATCAACAAAAAGCTCGAGATCCAATTTCTTTGAAATGTGGTCAAGCTTATCTGATAATTCCGTGATAAAACATCACGTGCATGCGTCACAAATGTGCTTGACTAGGATACCCTCCGTGGTAATATGACTCCATGGTGGCTCTGACCAGGCTACGTGGCGTAGCTAGGCCCGGCGCCATATGTATTTCCAATACGTCGTCATTGGCGGTGACGAATATCTACCATATGGCATTTTGTTCACCTCCATGTTGACTACATTACTTTCCTCTTTTTTTTTCCTCTGCCTCCATTGCTAGCGGCAGCGGGGACTTGTCCTTCTTGTTGGTCGCGGCTTTTTTCTTGGATGGACCACTTTCACGCTCTGCTTGAACTTGTCTTTAAGATACGGCACGAACCCATTCTACTCCATCGTGTCCTTTGATGTGACTAGATCTTTGGCTTCGTCTACGGTCACCGATTCTACTCCTGCGTAAAACGACGTTGTCTCATGATTCAGACAAATTTACCTTGTCTAATTGACTTGATTATTTTATCAACGAAAAACTCGCAATCCAATCTCTTTGAAATGTGATTTGATTTTACATTGATGACCGCAGTCACTCGATTGTCAAAAATATAATTTTCAAGCTAATCGAACATTATATTCACCTATTATTCGGGATTATCTGATCTTATATATGTACCTGTGAAGAGAAAAAGTGCCATGGCAAAGTGATTGTGTTAAGGTTTCAAAGACGAAGAGAGAAAACCATGGAAAAGAAAAATGAGGTGCACTGGAGAAAAGTGCCATGCAGAGTGATTGAGCTGTTAAGTTATGAAGAGAGAAAATGATAGAAAATGCCATGTTTGTTGTTGACCAAAATTTGACTATTGATAACTTTTTCATCCATTATCTAATTGATTCGATTATTTTATCAACGGGAAGCTCGCAATCCAATCTAATCCCGAAATGCTCGGATTGGATTACGTACAGCAATATGACTATACTTGTTTTTTTTTTTTGTGGCCTTGTGGTTTGGTCCAAGATGAAAGATTCAAGAATGGTAAAATAAAAAAGGGCATAATTGGCTCAGACTTACATAGATAAAAGAATGCGGATTAGAGGCAGTCCATTTATGAGCAACTGCATTTTTCCATGCATATCAAACTCAATGACCTCATAACAACAATTTCTAGGATAAAGATTAAAAGAAAATTTCATATGAAAATAGTGCCAATCCATATGAAGAGGATCCCATTCGCGATAGCTGCGACATCTCTAATCTTTTGTCTCCTGCGGTTTGGATATTCCTGTCCATAGCAACTTCACGCCCTGCTAGAGAGGACTTCCTCTTTTTATTGCCAGCACAAATGATAATGGGCTTAAGTTGTCTTTTCATTTCTTTGATCACTTCGTTGGCGGGACTCAGCTCATCCCTTACCTTCGTCGTGAAGATTTGGAATTGACATATTATTTGGAAGGGGAGAAGAAGCGAATATGAGAAGATTTGGTAGCTTTGGTTCATGCGGAGTTTAGGAAATAGCGGGTTACAGGTTCCTGTTTTGGAGACAATAGTTCTGGTGTCTATTGGGGCCTATGTGATGAAGAAGACACTGCCTGGTTTTGTACTAGAGAAATGTGCCATTCCTCATTATTGTAATGTGAATTCATGCTACTTTTTCCATTGTAATGTAGTCGACTTTTCCGTAGTTGCTAGATTATAGCTTCTCATGATCGAAAAGCACCAGTTTCACAAGTTCTTATCATATTTTAGGATAGGCAAAACTGTTGCTGAAATCAATATTACTTTTGTTGTGCTTTAGAAAGATTAGAGAAACAAACACAATTGAATTTGCTTTATGGATGATTTTTTTCATTCTTTTTTGGCCATACCACACAAGCAAGGACTTTAAAAATATTTGTGCGCTTGCAAGTCTTATTCCTTGGATGCTCCTAGCTGTTTAGAGATGACTTGGAATCTCATGAGACTATATGGAGGTACATTATTATCACAGGTTCGCCATCGCGCGAAAAGGTTTGTTAATTTATCGATAATGATAACTTTCTAAGAATGGTTAGTCATAGTTAACATTGGTAATTTGACAGAGGTGATGGAGGACTTCCCTCTGTTTTTTGGATTGGTAGATGAAAGGACATTCCTTAGAACAGGATTTAAGCTTTTAAGTCTCAACTTGTTCATTATCATGAACAGAAACTCAACGAGGACCTTTCCGGGGTGTGTGATCATGAAACTCCACAGTGACGAGTAAACCTTTTCCATCTATTGGATTAGACCCTAGGAGCACCAGTAACCGTGGGCGAACAATTGAGAGAGAGGAAGCAAGTCCCGTTGCGATGTCCCGTCGCCGCCTAACCAGAGTTACTTCAGAGAGAGAGAGGGGGTGAAGGTCAATGTTTGGTAAAAGTAGAAACTATTTTAAACACAAAAGGTTCAGGAATAATTTGAAAACTCGAGTAATTATACAAAGATTATGGGTGATATTATCCTATTATCTGTAGCTCAAATAAGGGTTATAATTCATTAATATGGTATTGATAGGATGAAATCAAATCAAAACTCGGATAGTACCTATAGCATCGAGAAGATGTTATCTTGCTCAAATAGATAAAAAAAAATGTAAGGTATGTAAAAGAAAATAGAGTGAAAATAAATAATATTGTCTAAATTGCTCGAACAAAGGGAGGTTGTCTATTATAATAAGTGGTCTTTCAACCGCCATTACCATAGTCGTGTAAAATTTATGCTTCTTAGGGTGCTTTTGTTTTGGTGAAAGTATTTTCCCGAAAAGTGTTTTCTGGATTTTCATCCGTTTGGTTCTTCAAAGATGATTTGGTCAACGGAAAATACTTTCCGGTCTACACAAATATCATGTTTAATTTTAGGAAAGCGAATTATCTTATCTAATAAGGTGAAAACACTTTCCGAAATTGCTTGTCTTGAATATGTTAATATTTCTTTTCTTTTCTTTCTTTCTTTTTCTTTTCTTTTCTTTTTCTTTTCTTTCTAAGAAGGAAAACATTCAAGTATTATTTTTTCTTAATAAAAATAATTTAAAAATAACAAATAATTTAAAAAATACAAAATTTTTTGATAATTTTCACGATGAGATTTTTCTCACCAATCAACTGAAAATACTTTCCGAGTCTTTTTTAGGTTTTAGCCAAACATCGAAAAATGAACTCATTTTCCTGAAAAGTATTTCCAGAAATGGTACATTTTTCGCGAAACAAACGCACCCTTATTTTGTAATCTTAGATTTGCATTAGATCTGATCATCATGGCAATCGCTCTCCCCAGACACTCCCCTTTCTGTAGATGGATATAGGATTTTCACCTTTTAATAATTTTATTTATCCGATCCTTTTTCTTTATTTTTTATTCAATTATATCATATATTAAGAACTTATCCATATTGCATAAATTCAAGATTACAAGAAAATGTGAGCCAAATATGAAAGTTAGAGCATACTCCTACGAAACTTTAGATCAAAGCGATGTGGTTTTAGAAATAGACTATGTAAAATGTATGGAATCGTTAAAAAAATTCATAGTCAACGAGAAAAACCTTTTACACATTCATCATTTTACTCGACACATTTATGTAGAGAGAATTGTTTAATCGAATTCGTCCGCATGCCAATCACCTATATCATCTTTTATGCATACGGAATATTCAATGAAAATTTAAAATTAGATATTCTTTTTTTTTTATATTTATTAGATTCACGAGCCAGTGTAAAGTTTTTTTTTTTTTACACATATTCATCGCTGGTTGAACGACACGTGAACGAATTTAGTTGTGAGATTATTTTGAAGTACCGCGTGTTATAATATCCAACGATAAATATGCAGAAACATTCTTACCACAAAAATTGAACCTAATAAAAATCCATTATTTTTTAACCGCGATTAAAAAAAAGAAAAAAAAAAGAAAGAGCTGAAGGTGAAATTCCTCTTTTGCCATTTTGATCCCCGCGGCCACGAGCCAGAGCAATCATGGCGAAGCAGTAACGGATCTTGATTTCGTCCCCGTCTCTCTCTGCAGCCTCCTCCGTCGAAGCTCATTGCCCAGCTTCACCTCCTGCAGTTTCCCCTCTCTCTCTCCCTCCGATGAGACGCTAGGGTTTCCTGAGCTCTCTCCCGCCGGCCACCATGTCCGCCGACAAGCCGCCGCTGAAGCCCCTCTCCCCGCAGGAGTGGGAGTCCCTGATCGAAGACTTCCAGCACGGCCGCGAGACCTGGACCTCCGCCCACCCCGCCGCCTCCGTCGCCGACCTCGCCGTCTCCTCCCTCCTCCGGCGGGACCTCCCCCTCGCCCTCAAGCACTCCCTCCTCGTCTTCCTCGAGGAGTTCGCCGACGCTCTCTTCGTCCCCGCCTCCCGGGCCCAGCTCCTGGGCCGCCTCGTGGAGGCCCTCCGCTCCGTCGTCCAGTCGCCGCTCGATCCGGCCTTCGCCACGTACGCGCTCAAGGAGCAGGTGATGGTGTCCACCGCCTCGATCTTCGTCTCCGTGGTGGACGGTTTGGGCGGCGAGGAGCAGTGCGCTCGCGACCTCGCGAGCTTGGTCGAATTGCTGCTGGCCATCGTCAATCGGCCGAATCACGGGCCGGACCGGCAGACGAGGGCGGTGGCCTGCGAGTGCTTGAGGCAGTTGGAGAGGAATTGGCCTTGCTTGTTGGCCGAGATCGCAGGGCACCTGTGGAGCTTGTGTCAGAGCGAGCGCACGCACGCGTCGCAGAGCTACATTCTGCTCTTCGCTCAGGTAATCCACGATATCGTGACTCGTAAGGTCGACGTGTCGATCTTGAACACTTCGGTCCCTTTGGTTCCGTTTAACTTGCCTCAATGGGTGTTGGGTCCGACAAGGGAGGTTTCGGCTTTGAATTACAAGGAACTGAGGAGGGCCATGGCGTTTTTGCTTGAATGGCCGCAAATTCTCACCCCTTGTGGGATGATGGAGTTTATGCATATGATAATACCCGTGGCGGTTGCTTTGGAGTTGCAGGCTTCAATGTTGAAGGTCCAGTTCTTCAGCATGATTTATTCCTATGATCCTGTGCTTTGCCACATGGTTCTGATGTTGTATTTACGTTTCTTAGATGCTTTTGATGGACAAGAGCATAAAATTGCTCGTCGGCTTGTCTCAGTTTCAAGGGAAGCACAAGGTCATCCGGTGTTTCGGATGCTTGCCCTTCATTGGTTATTGGGATTTTTCAGTGGCATGTCGAATCGTGTAGTTGAGAGAAAGAACATGGTTGTTGATATGGCTTCAAGCTTCTATCCAACTGTTTTTGATCCTCTTGCTGTGAAGGCACTGAAGCTCGACCTTCTTGCCTTGTGCTCATTGTGTCTTGGAAGCCAAAATTCTGAGGATGTCTCGCAAGCGGATTCATTGTCTGTGGTGAAACTATTCAAGGATGGTCTTGTCTCTGTATCTGCTTTTAAATGGATGCCTCCATGGAGCACAGAAACTGCGGTGGCATTTCGCACCTTGTATAATTTCTTAATAGGCACGCTCTCCCTTTCCGTCGATGATTCCATCAAAGCGAAAATGCTTTTGGAATCCACGATCTTCCGTTTTTTGCAGGTAATGTAATGCTTCAGATTTCCCACTTCATCCCATTTCTTCCTTTCTTTGTGTTATGGCCATACTCTGCCTCTACGTCTGTTTATCGTGCATCACTCATATAAGCTGGATTTCATATGACAGGTTTATATTAAAGATAATTTCAAGCATTTGCATAGGAAAAACTAAAAGGGAAAACAAAACCTCAAGCGGATGCCTGTTGTTACTACTTGAGAGAGGTCAATTTTATGAGATGATTTTTATCTTTCATAGCAGTATATCACTAATTGCCTGAAAGAATGCATATTTAATGGAACTTTCTTCTCTTGGAGATGACGATGCTTGTGCTTGAAAGGAATTTTGAAACATTTAATAAATTGCGGCTTCTAGTTTCAGAAAAAAACTACGACCTTAGAATATACGCTCTACGAAGTATTTTTCCTTCTTTAAAAAGGGACCAATAACATACTGAGTTATTCTCTTTCTAGAGTTTTGGTTTTGAGGCTGCTAATTCTAGTGCTTTGCATGCACTACCGAGTCAGTTACAGGTAGTGAATGGGATTGCTTGGTGGTTGTAAAGTGAAGATGATTCATGAGTTTAAGATATATGAATTATGAATAACTATTTGTATTAGCAATACTTCAATACAGTGTTTGATTTAATATTGTCAATCTTCCTTTGATTTTTTTTCTTACTCCATCCCCTTTGGACATCATACTATCGCACAATGATGGCAAGTTTTCATCCAAGCGAGGTGTTTTCACATTGTTTTAATGCTTTCTCATATTTTAGGGGATGATCGTGGAGATGACTATGGAGTTTCAGCAGTTAGTTCCCACTATCGTTTCCTTCGTCAACAGATTCTTGGGCTGTAATAAGCACTGTTGGTTGGGAGAGCGACTGCTCCAGACACTAGATGAGCGTTTGCTTCCAAAAGTCAGTGTAGATTATAAACTAGTCGCCTACTTTGCGATATTTGATAAAATTGCTGGAAATATCACGATCCCCCCTCGTGGACTTCTAGAACTTCTTACCAACTTAGTCATTTTCCTTGTCAAGAAACATGGCCCCGACACTGGCTTAAGATCTTGGTCACAAGGAATTAAGGTTCTTGGAATATGTAGGACAATGATGATGCATCACCACAGTTCTAGATTGTTCCTCAGACTATCTCGTCTCCTTGCATCTACCTGCCTTTACTTCCCTGATTTGGAGGTTCGTGATAATGCAAGGTATGGGGATAAAAAAAAGATGCATTCTTTTCCTTTTCTGTGCTTCCAGCTCAATCAGTTTTGTTTACTGTACCGTGTGTCATAAAATTGGGTGTGGGATCGATACATGTTATTTTCATGTTCTTAACTTCATCCAATACATGTTGGGCTCATGGTCCTATGGGCATTGTGCAGGATCTATCTAAGAATGTTGGTATGCGTACCTGGTAAGAAGCTCAGAGAACTGCTGAAACTTGGGGAGCAGCTACCTACCATGACTCCATCTGGAGAATCTGACACATTTTTCAATGTGCAGGCTCCAAGACTCCCTCATGACCCTAGGAAATCTAGAAATATCTCTGCTTACGTACACCTTGAGCGTGTGGTACCTTTACTTGTAAAACAATCGTGGTCATTGTCTTTGGCTAATTTGGGTTTTGGAAATGCAAAGGCTGAGTCTATAGTAGGCATTAAGGATAGCGAACCAAAATTTGATGATGCAGTGATTGGCATCACTTCTGATGAACCAATTTCTTCTGAAAGCTTAAACGTCGAACAACAGCTGGAACCACTACGGGTTATGGATGCCAAGATTTCGGAAATGTTAGGAACTCTGAGGAGGCATTTCTCAAGTATTCCTGATTTTAGACATATGCCGGGGATTAAGGTCAAAATCTCATGTTGTTTGAGATTTGAATCTGATCCCTTCAGTCGGATATGGGGATTTAGTTCTCCTTCAGATAATCCAAATGCAGCGGATGCACTTCCAGCAATATATGCGACTGTACTCAAGTTTTCTTCTTCAGCACCATATGGGTCTATTCCACTATTTCGCATACCATTCCTTCTTGGAGAGCCTCCAAAGAAAAATGATTCTTCTGTCCAGAAAGTTAACTCAGATGTTCATGCTGTAGAAAATGGTGCCCATGAAGATGATAGCTTTAGAGCTTCTGTTACAATAGAATTAGAACCTCGAGAACCGACTCCCGGGATGGTGGATGTTTTTCTTGAAACTAATTCGGCCAATGGTCAAATCATTCGGGGACAGCTGCATAGTATCTCTGTGGGCATAGAAGACATGTTTCTCAAGGCTATTACCCCATCTGACATCCCCGACAGCTCAGTTCCTCTTTATTACTCTGACTTGTTCACATCCCTCTGGGAGGCATGTGACGGTTCTTCCAACTTTGGACGGGAGACCTTTCCTCTGAAAGGAGGTAAAGGCGTCGCTGCAATCAGTGGAACCCGATCAGTCAAGCTACTGGAGGTCCCTGCATCCTCTATGATCCAATCCACTGAACGGTACCTCGCTCCTTTTGTTGTAAAAGTAACCGGAGAACCGCTTTCAGATCTTGTGAAAGACGGCGGAGTTATTAAAGATATCATCTGGAAGGATTCTGTTCTGGATATTTCCGATGACGCTACCCTTGCAAGTGTCAATTTTGAGGGTCCACTTCAACTCAAGTACACTGATGAGGAGGATGACAGGGAAACCTATGCCAACTATACCAGCAGAAACATGGGCTGCATCCATATCCTCATATTTCTTCCACCAAGGTACCATCTTCTTTTGCAAATGGAAGTATCTGATGCTTCGACTTTGGTTAGAATAAGAACTGACCACTGGCCATGCCTGGCTTACATTGATGATTATTTGGAAGCTCTCTATTTGGCGTAGGAGAAGTTTTGTCCTAATGGCGAGTTCGTCTAGATTCTTGATGACTCTACTTTGTGCCACTGTAAGATAATCCGCCTGTTGTTGTAAATGCTCTCTCCCAATTTTTTCGTTCCTTAATTTAAAAGAAAGGAGGGTTTTTGGTCTCCCTGAATAATCTGTCCCGCAAATACGACAGCAAGGTTGAGATCCTTGAGTTCTGATGTTTTCGATGGATTCGAACTCGAAGTCCGAAGCGATCTCTGTTTCCGATTCTCTCAATGCTTCTGGCCGTCATAGGGAGAGACTACCTCAAGGTCCATCTTGTTTAATTCTTTGCGAAGCTCATGCATCCCTCATCTCGGGACTCCCATTCTTTTGCTGTCTGGTGACAATAATTCAGAAACGATATGCCTGATGATCTGGGAGTGTCTAATTGTAATTATGATTGATTGTTGCATATTGTCGTGGCCATGTCGACATAGTTCCATCCTCTTCCCATTTGGTATAATGCTCGCTATTATTGGTAAGTCGGGTGTTGCTTCAAATTTGGTCTGGTTTCTTGTCTATGTATCTTACGGATTAGTAGTATTCGGATTGTACATTATGATTTCTGGAAAAAGGATATCATGTATTGAGAAAGCTATTGGGAGCAAAATCTCTGCGTTTGTGGTTATTGGATGAAGGTTAGAGGGAGATAAAAAAAACCATGGAAGCCAAATTCTGCAACTCAAATACCAAAATGGTGCGCATGAGGAGTTCGAGTCGAGAGGCGATTTCTTTAGGCCACTGCCCATCACCTCTCTTGACATCGGAACTATTGTGGTCATGACGGTGCCGACGAAATCATTATGAGCGGTGATATTTTGGTGTAATGCCAAACTGGAAACGAGGAGATTGCACGGGTTTTTAGTATTAAGAAGGATGTGTAAATACTAGGTTGACTAAGTGATCGAACATTTGGTTTGAATATGATAAGGTGTTCAAGTTACGGTGTCTTTCACGTAACTTGGTCACCATATTATTTTCTCGTAAAGCAACTGCTCTGTGTTTGTCGCATTGCTGACGCAAACCAAACATACTAAGCTCTGTGTTTTACGTAAATACTAGGTTGACTAAGTGGTCAAACATTTGGTTTGAATATGATAAGGTGTTCAAGTGACGGTGTCTTTCACGTAACTTGGTCACCATATTATTTTCTCGTGAAACAACTGCTCTGTGTTTGTCGCATTGCTGACGCAAACCAAACATACTAAGCTACTTGGCCCGCACATGGTAAATTCATCTTCAAAATACGTTCAATTTTTCATTCTCGTGGACGAGATCCTACGAATACATAAACTCGCCCTGTCGGATTTTAGCTGATTCGCTCATATGCCCACCGTGCATCACGTTATTTCTAGTGTTTGTTTTCCTATGCAATTCGAGTGCTTAAACGGCCGGTTCGCCCGTAGGGTGGCAGTGACGTGGCACTGAGTGGGTCTTAAGTGAGACTCTCGTGGTAAGGATTGCGACGAATTGGGTACTCACAATCTATCCAAGGAAGGCTTTCTTAATATTTTTTGTAGATCAATAGTTGTAGGAATCAAAAAAATGGACAATACATTAGCGAAGTATGTTATAATTACTCATAATTTAAAAAGAAAAAAAGAAAGAAAGAGAAGAAAGACCGGAAAGAGACCGGAGAAAAGTGAGGAGGAAGAAGAAGCGTGTCTGCTGCTCCGACCGACCCATGTGTACAATTGTCCTAAAAAAAAAAAAAACAAAAGCAAAGGGAACAGATTTATCGCAGCACCTCGAAATGTGGGGGGAGTGGCTTTTTGATATGGTACCAAGGCAGACGTACTTTCTCTTTGTGGTTTTGAGGCCGGCGCTGGAGGATATCAGGCATCGCAAAAGCTAATGCGCTGCATCGTCGTCAGCCCACCCACACCCAAACCAACCTCCTTTTCTGGTTGAAATTCAATTCAAAGTTCAAACCTCTCCTCGCCCCAGCCACGAGCTTCACGTTCCATACCACCTCCACACGCACCTTCCTCTCGCTCTGTGTACATGGATTCGGACTTCCGGAGTCGCCTCAAGCTCTCCAGAATCCGCTCCTGATTTCCCTTCTCCTCCTCCTCCCGCCCCGAGCCTCGCCGCCGGCCGCTTCCCACCGGTGGCCCGATAGAGCCGTCGCCGCGGGGAATTCATGTCCCTGGCCAATGCCGCCCCTCCCGCCCGCGCTTCGCCGCCCGGGGCCCTGAGTTCCTCCGCGCCGCCAAATGATTCCGCAGCCCTCGTCCTCCTCCGCGAGCTTCGGGTTCTCGCCGGCCTCCTCCTTCGCCCGGGTGGTCTGCCCGTGCGGCGGTGAGGCCCTCCGCGCCCCGCCCGTTGCTTTCTCTAATAAGAGGAGGAAGGGGAGATTCCCGCCCGGGTCGTTGAGCAGGAGGAGATGGAGTTTCCGGGCTTGCGTGATTCCCTCCGACGGTGGGAACCGCGGTTTCAGTGTGGACATTGCTAGTTCGGCCAGGAGGGGTGCCAAGAATCTCGTGGTCAAGAGGTTGACCAATGAGTTGCACAGCGAGGAGTTGCCCGGAGAGGCGTCCATCCAAATGGGTTCGAATTTCACCAACTTCCGGGAGGACCCCATTGTGGATAAGCTCAGAACGCAGCTCGGGGTGCTACACCCGATACCTTCGCCCCCGATTAATAGGAACATAGTGGGCTTGTTTGTTTTCTTTTTCTTTGTTGGCGTTGCTTTCGATAAGCTATGGACCTCGAGAAAAAGGAATAAGGCGGGGGCCGATGAGATCAGGCGTGGCGTGTGGCCGCAGGTGCCCGCGAGCTTTTCGTTGTTCCTGGAGAAGGATTTGCAGAGGAAAGAATCTGTCGAGTGGGTGAACATGGTGTTGGGGAAGCTTTGGAAGGTTTATAGAGGTGGGATCGAGAATTGGATTATTGGGCTGCTTCAACCCGTCATTGATAACTTGAAGAAGCCTGATTATGTTGAGAGGGTTGAAATTAAGCAGTTCTCACTGGGGGACGAGCCATTGTCGGTCAGAAATGTCGAACGTAGGACTTCACGTCGCGTTAATGACTTGCAGTAAGTGTTCTGAGACTTCATATTATTTCTAATAATGAACATCTATTATCATGTGTATGTTGTTTCAGTTAATCATGCCTTTAGCTTGATAGAGAAGTTGCGTCTTCTTTTCATATCCTTTCAACGGTCGTGGTTGTGATCTCTTGTATAAACTAGATATGGCAGAGCACTTTATATCTATGTTATACATATATTGTCTTAGAAACGCCTTTGGGATTAAGTATCTGAACTATTTCAGCCACATATGTGCCTCTAACAATTCATGAACATTCTGTTTTTTCCACAAGTCGCATCCAATTTGATGTCCTTCATTTGTCTCGAACCATCTTATTTGAAATTTGAGTTCCTTGATATTCAGTCTTCTCATTGGTCCCAGTCAAATTTAAGTTCATACTGTTCTCGACTGGCCTGCCAAGGCATGAAGATTTTTTTGCTATCGGACAGAACTTTCTTGGGTCAGAAATGATGTTGGTGGTGACTCTCATCTTAATGTGATTTGAATGCTGGCGATTTATTTGACCACCGGTGTTTTCGTGCTGTGATAGAAGTCTCAAGCTGCATGAGTTTAATCATGTGTTGAACATCGCCAACTTTGACATCTTAAATGAAAAGAAATAGTGTAACAGGAAGTGAGCTCTTGTAGACAGCCCTCTGAGGATCCTTCTGAAGATTGGAAACATCAGTTAATGATCTCTTTGTTAACTTACCTGGACGGATGCAGAGACAGATTTATTGAGGTTTATATGTTACTAGAACCATGATATGAAACATTAAAAGCTTGAGTTCAGTTTTTAGAGTCTTGTCAGACTCTGAAATGGAGAATATTTTCCAGTCAATTGTTGTACAAGAACTTGCCAAACTGCTGAGTGAAGAGAACATTTAGAAGCATGTCGCTTGTATATATCTTAGAAGCAAGTAGCTATTGAACGAAGGATTGGTTAACTAATATACTGATAGATTTGCAAGATCATTAATAGACCTACAGTCATGATATGGGACGGTGATAGCTGAATGCTACTTTCATCTAACTTATGTTTTGCCCTTAGAAATATGAGGTTGTTTCAAGGACAAATTAGTGCCCATTAATATCTGAGCGGTTGTTTCATATTCTTCTTCTTATAAAAAAAGAGCATAGCATCCACTATTGAATTAGCTAATGTTGACTATGTATGTTTCTCTATTGTAAAGATAGAGTATTGGGATAGAGGGGTTGTCAATGTATTCCAGGAGCCTTTAGATCTACAGGAAGGGCAAGTATCATGGAGAGGTCACTTTGACTGAGAGAATTATGATTTCATGACTGTCATTATTTTCTTTCTGCTAACTTAAACGCAAACCGTGAGAATTTCAAAGGAAATTTGAGGTGTTGAAGTGTAGTTTTGAAGCAATCTTGGCTTGTTCATGTGCATTGCTTACCTGCTGCCACACGTAGAATATAGTGGAAGTCAGTTATCCAACATTAAGTTGTGGATATCACTGAGTTACTGTTTGAGACATTGGAGATCTAGGGTTTGGTTTATCTTTGCATGCATCACTGTTTCATTAGACAGGAGGGTGATGCTTATTGCTTGAATTGTCTATGAAGAATGGAATGCTGGATAATCTCCAGTACAACCTTTACATGCCCCTGCCATGTACTGGTCATCCTTACATCCTCTAAAGTCTGTGGTACTTTGTCAGTTCTGATTGTTTGGAAACCTAATCAATGAGAGCCCTTTGCTACCACCAAATTCCATTTTGTGAGCTTGAACCTTCGTAAAGATATGTTTAATTCTTAATACGATTGCTGATATAGCTGACGTAATTGAGGACAAGTTCTGTCAGGTGATTTGACTTTGAAAGATGAGAGTGTTAACTATTTAGTTAATTGGGTCATGACTACTAGTTTCCCTTTAGATTTGTCGCTAACTAGTTTAGAATTTATTCCTGCATGACATCGTTATTTTCTGGCAAATACTATCTAGGCCTATGACATTTCTAGTTACACTTAAAAATTTTAGCTGATGAAAGTAAAGGAATTCTGGTGAGTATTTTCTGGTGCGATGGAATTATCTTTTACTGGCAAATCGATCCACTTGTATA